GCTCGCTCGCTCGCAGGGTCATCGCGGGTGGAGGAGCTGGGAGGCGGTCGGCAGAGGCGCTGCAGTGACCCGTTTCCGTCCTTCAGCGGCACAAGGAGTACCTGAAGATGCTGAGTGAGAGAGAAGAGGCGCTCGGTACGTGTTACTTGCCTCGTCGCAGCCGGGTGGATGTGCGAGGAGTCCAAAGTTTGTGAGAAACGGGAGAGGGGCCGAACGGGCTGGGAGTGTCGTGATCTGTCACGCAGAGACCCTGCCTGGGGGGTCGGAGAGGGAGCAGAGGCGCTCGCCCAGCCCGGCAGGGCTCGCTCCATCGTGTCTCCCTGAGAAGCGGGGTAGCAATCGGCGTGGTGGGCTGAAAGTGAACCCCTCGGCCCCTGGTCCCTAGTCAGAAGGGGAATTGGGCATGTTACGAAGAAGGGAACAAACGGGATGACATCTCCAAACTGTTACAGATTCTCTTCTGCTGGGGAAGGTGTTTGCTTTCCATGCTTGCAGTGCTGGTGTTTCAGCCTCTCCACCCCTGCATGCAAAGACTGGGTCTCCTTCCCCCAACGCGGCAATGTAGGAATGAGTGTAAGCGTAGCTTGTGAAAGGCTAGGTGCTTTGTAGCGTGGGATTTCTCGCCTCCGCAGATGAAGCCGATGAACTGGAGCACTTGGTGACGTCGCGGACGGAGTCTGTGAACATCGACCACCCAAACCACATTGTAACAGTGACCACCATCAGTGACTTGGATCTCTCAGGTGCACGCCAGCTGGGACTGACCACCGCTGAGGTACAGCCTCTTACTGCTTCTCTGGTTATATCAGTCTTGAGCGTTCTTGCGGCTGGCTAAGTAGGGCTGATGCTCCATGATTATGTCAATAGATTTGTAGCTGCCTGGGAGCAAGGCTGAAAAGGGAAACTCACAATTTGTGCATTCCTTCCCAAGGTATCTTGGGGCTCTAAAGAGGAGGAAATGCCCTGCGTGAAGGGCTCATTCCAAACCTCCCTGGAATCCTTTGCTATTTCTCTTTGATGTAATGTTAGTGGAAGAGGCAGCAGGGCTGGATGGGGAGAACATGGTATTTTCAAAGCAGGTACAATACAAGCAGTGAGAATGCAGGCTTTGCTGCATGGATTGTCCTTGACCCTTTGCCTCTGTGCTGTCCAGGAATAATTGCTACTAGGGTGAAGAATTTTTCTGTCTGTATTCCTCTGCTTGGACCACAAATAAGGAAACCATTCAGTTCTGGTTATGTTACTTTATATTTCAGAACAGAATTTAACTGAGCTGTCATATTAGTTTCACAGAGGCTTTCATGCACTAGTTGACTTAAATCCTTCTGGTCTTTATGAGTTGAGGATTTGAGCTCTTTGGGGAAGTGTTCATGTTGGGCAGTTAACCTTTTAAATTTTTAAGGGCATCTTCTAATCTAAAAATCTACTTAAAGAGGTTCTGGTAGTAACTGAAAAACAGAAATAACATGTTCAGTTCATAGTTCAGACTTGAATTGCATAGCCACTAAGATCCCGCTGAAGAGCTGAATCTTAGAGTGGGTTAATGTATTCCTTGCTGGCTGTCCCTTTTTTGAAGGGCTGTGGTACGAAATCTTGAGACTTGGATGGTAAGGGATGTGGAGGATTTAAAGAAGTTTGTCCATAATTAGATGTTTCACAAAGCAGGATGAAACCAGGAAGGCAGTAGAAACACTTGATTTACCAGATACTGCTGCTTGTTTTAATGTGTCTATGTGCTTTTTTTTTTTTTGGTTCCTTTCTAAGGGAAAAGGTATCGGATCAGAAGGAGAGAAGGGGGAAGAGGTGGTGAACAAGCCCACAAGAACAGTTCCCAAGAAGTCCAGAAATCCCTTCCTGTCTGAAAAGTATGTATAAACTTCTTCAACACTTTGCTACCAGGTTTTGGGAGCTGTTCGGAAGCATCTCACCCAACCTGCGTTCCCAGCATAGCTGTGTGGGGACAGGGAGAGGATGCTGTACTTCCTGGTTGACTGTGGATAGGAGCCAGCAGAGGGCACTTGCAGAGCATGAGCCTGGCTGGAACACTCAATTCCCAGCCTAGAGTCCCAGCTAGCTGCCGGGCTTCCTATTTTATTGATTCCTGGTGACAGCAGCAGGAAGATGCTGCTGCATTGCAGGGCAGACTTTGCCCCGAGTTATGAACTCCGTCCTTCTGTGGATATTGCAGGGTGTTTCTCTGGGATGTAGGTAAAAAGACTCTAAAGCTTAAAGCTCTTGGATTCCCCACGTTTTTCACTATCAGCTGCTTTTGTGGTACAGGGAATTATTTAACTCTGTGGTGGCTGGACTGCCCATTGCTCTAAGAGTGCGTTTTGGTTGTTACTGCACAATGTGGACCTACAAGCTTTTTGTCTCGTCAGGATGATGCCCGACATGGTGCGGTTCTCCAGAAGTTGGTAGATGCTAGTATCTGTTTCTGCTGGGCCATGCAGGGCTGTCCTGCTGTTGTGGTGGTGTCACCTTGCTTCTGCAGATTTTGGTCCTCAGGCATTTCTTTCTTTCTGCCCTGCACAGGATCTCATCACTCACTGCCTCACTGCACATGCACAGCCGGAAAAAAACAAAAGGAAAGAGACCGCAACGTGGGCAAGGCCCACGCAAGAAAATCCAGAAACCCAGCACAAGGCGAACCACTAAGACTCAGCGCCGGAGACTGACTGGCAAAACAGGGCGCGACCAAGATTAAGGGAAGAACTAGTGCTTGGACCAGCAGCTGGGACAGCTTCTGCCTCTGGCCAGCTGCTCCTTGTGGCCCATTTGTCATGAGCAAGGGCCTTGTTTACTTGGCTTTCTGACCAGCGATGAGTCTAGCTTAGCTGTCCTCTCACCTTCAAGTCTGAGCACTGGCCAGGGTCGCTGGACACTCTTCCCATTTATTTCTGCAGTGATCTACAACTGAGTGTTTGGGTGCTGTGGAATCTCTCAAAACTTCTGCTGAGGGTCAGGCTATGAACTCAGTAAGATTCTCTATTTAGCATGAAATAAAGGGGGTTCCTGTCCCTGAACCTCCCTTCCAGAGCTGATACTTGGCTTTATTAAAGGAGAGGATGTAGGGTTGAGTTCAACAAACAAATCATCAGGGAAAGTTATGAGATGAGCAAGAGCTCTGCTTCCACTTCTGCACAGTGCCCCAGTGTTTCATGGAAGCAAGGTATCATCTTGTCTCATTTTTTTTCCCCAGTGCCACACCTGAGTGAAGGGATGCTTGCATTTTTCTTTTTCTTTTTTTTTTTTTTTTTTAATTTTTAAGATACCTATCCCAGGTGAAATTTGGTAACTTTGAGTAAATTTTTATAAAGTCATTTTGCTAAGAGCATGTGTGCTTTATCTGGAATGGAACAGCAACAGTGCTAATGCCAATATCAGATGGGAAGAGGGGAGACCGTTCCTTTTGCTTAAAGGATCTTGAAATCCACTGGTGCTCTGGAAAGAGAATAGCTAGGAGCTATTTCTGCAGTTTATAG